TATTTAATAATCGTTTACCCATGTTGTTGAGAAGGGGTTGAGTGAGATTTGGCTTTTCGTGGGATAGAATTATTGTTTTTTGAATAACGGATATGGGGTTTATACTCTCCTCTTTGTAACCATTTTCATCATGTTCTTTATCAATATTGTTGTAAAAAGGATACTTTTCCTTGCTTAGGGTGATTGAGATTAAATCCTAGTAATTTTTGTTTGTCTGTTATTGTTTTTTGATATTATGTTGGTTATTGGAGATGTTAACTCCATATTAACTATTATGTTTGCATAGGTAGTCTCGATATCCATTCCAACATGAAAAATGATTTTAGAGGCCACACAATTTTGGGACATCTTTCTCCAAAAGACTTGGCTTTTAGAAGATTTAAAATAGTATTTTCGCAAAGGGATGATGATGTATCTAAGCAACCTCTTCTCTCATGATGGGCTAGTTGTTTGTCATCAGTTGTTGCTGGTTCAACTCAATAGCCTTTTTTGTATTTCAACTCCATCCGAAAGAAATTTTCAAAAGAGCTTGCCCTTGAAAAAAGGAAGAATCTTTTCGACGGTCATACTTCATAAGTTGTTGTTACTTCATCATTATCAGCAGATGGGTTATGAGGTCTGTGTTTTACCAAACTCCAGAGAAAAATTGATTCTTTGGAAAAGAGGTGCGAGAATCCTTAAGAAAAGTTGGGAAAACTAAAGAAAGAAAAAAGAAAGAATAAGAAAATGAGCAAAGGTACTGAAACCTTTATTACAAAGGAGACTTCCCTAATGGCTAATGTCAAGAAAATTTCTAAAGATTTGGAGCTAACAAAGCTTAAGTAGTTTATATTACCAAAACTAACAACGAGCTTTTGTGCCTTAAAGAGGAATTTCAAGTCGTTAGGGCTAATCAGTACATTCCCTCTCAGTATCTTAATAAGACAAGGAATGAGAAAGCTCTATTTATTAATCAGGTGGAGAGTACAAAGACAAAGTTGGCTCTTAAGGAGTCTAGCCTTTTCGAGGCGAAAACGTAAGAGGTAAAGCTTGTTGACGAAGTCAGCAAGAATGGAGGAAAAAAAGTTCGTGATATTATTAGGAATCTTCAATTCTAATGGAATATAAATTTTTTAGAGGCTCGTGAAGAGGACTCCACTTCGAGGATACTTCACTAGTCGTTGAGGCTTCTAGAAAATCCTCACTTATGCCAAATCAATCCAAACTGTGGAGCCTGCACACATTTCTTCTAGCGGAATCGCTACTAGTGTTGAGTTAGCTGATACTTCTACTGATGCCCACTCTCCCGCCACAACATGTGTTTTCTATGAGGGTAACGCTCCCGCTTTGGAAATCTTCAGAAAATGGTAAACTTAGATAGATAGCTCAGTTTTGTCTTATTTCTTTAGTGAAATTTCACTTCTTTCTTTGCAATTTATTGATGAGATTTTATTATTAATTTAATGCAATTTTGTTCATTTAGCTATTTGTTTATGCTTGTACTGTCTTATTCATTCATTTTGGTCACGTTTTATATTCATTTGGAATTTCTTTAGCCGTCTAAGATTCATCTTTATAATATCTTTGTTGCAACATTCTCTTGAGTCCAGTCTTCTTTTATGCTTCAAAATTTATGATTTCTTTAGTATTTGCGAAGTCATCTTTATTGGCAAACAGGTTTTTCAACCTACACTTCACAATATCGAATGCTTGCTTTCCTAAAAATGGGTTTTCAAGCATGCGTTTCTTCTTTCAGCCATAATATGGTATTACCCTCTGAGGGCTTCGTGGCTACATTCCTTAGAGCATTGACATAGCATTCACGAATGACAACTTGATGGATAGATATTATTGCTTTCAACTATTTTATAGTAGGTCTTCACAAGATCCCATTATAGGCAAAATTGCTATCCATGAATACTTGAAATTTAATTGACTTTTCATTGAGCTCAATTGACAACATTATTTGTCCCTTTGAGATCAAGCTATTTCTCTTAAAGTCATACAGAGTTTCAACCATGGGTGATCATTCTACATTTGATCAAACTAACTTCCAACTGTTAAGAGGAGCAGCCCAAGACCTTATAATTTTGTCTAGTTTTCATTTTTATTCGATGTGGGATTATACCAATTAACATGTCCTCGCAAGATGGTGGCTCGTTTGAGCAAACCAATCTTGAAATCCATATGCTCATTTATTGAGTCTTAGTTGGATTGAGTACTTGTTTGAGTTTAATGGGCTTTGATACCATGTTAAACTTGGGGTCCATCTTAAAAGGTCAATCTTATTAAAAGGAGCAGTCCAAGATCTTATAAGTTGGTTTATATTTTCATTTTTATTTGATGTGGGATTATATTTCTTAACATGTCCTCACAAAATCATAGCTCATTTGAGCAGACCAATCTTGAAATCCTATACTCATTTATTAAGTCATAATCGGATCGAATCACTCATTGGAGCTTAATGGGCTCTGATATCATGTTAAGACTTGGGTTCCATAGCATGTGGCTAAGGCATTATGAGCTATTGTATCACGGTAGGGATATATGACTCCTGTTCACGATCATTATTAAATATAATTGGAAGAGATATAGTTTTAGGATTACATCGAATCTAGAATACTTTATGCAAAGGCTTTTTGGTAGCACGAGCATAATTTCGTCAAACATTCATTATTTCTCGACCTATAGAAGGCCTTTCGATTATAGTCCTAATTTTCCTTATTCAAGTAAAGAGCTAGGAATGTTCGCAGGTGCTTGGGTTGTCTCAGACTGCTTTAGTCTTACTCTTCAACCTCGTCTTCTTGCTGGATATGGTGGTCTCATGCCTCCACCTTTTTTCGTGTGATCCTCTTTGTTGACTTTGCAGTTTTCCAATGTTAAGTGACTCGTAGCATTTATTTGATATAGTCTTGTAAGTGATTAATTCACCACTAAATTGTATACAATAGCTTTTGAAAGACTCACCGTCTTTCTGCCGTGTATCATTCGACCGTGCAGTTGGTGCTTGCCCCATTCTACTCCTGACATATGCTTCCAAAAATGCCTCCTTCAATTGTGGCCCGCTTCTGATTGATCTAAGCGGTAATTTGATATACAACCTCTTAGTAGGTCCGTCTAGTGTTCAATAGAAGGCTTAACAATTCAGTTCAGAACGTTCTTTTTTTTTTTTATCTGTATCATGTACTCAAATAGATGGTATATAGGATCTGTTTTCCCACTGTATTTTTCTATAATAGGGCGAAGAAATTTGCTTGAATTGACACTTTTTTGATATCTTTGAAAAAGGGCACATATTCACCATCATCATCCATTTATTTTGACCTAATCATCTAATTTTCGTAAGCATCGAAAGCGTTCTTTGCTTCATGACTATTCTTATTATAGTATGGAATAGATCTCTTCTCACATGAGCTTACCTCATCCGTCGATTTCCCTATCTCGATTTTACCTCCAACTCAGTCATTCTTCTTCCTTTTCAGTGTACTTTCATCACCTCTTGATGCATGCTGATCATTACTTTTCTCCTGAAAAGAGCTTGGGGCATGCTTTTTTGGTTTCGACCAAATTCCTCTTGTCAATTTCCTTCTGGATTCTCAATTTTTGCACACGACGACACATTCTCTACCATTACTATCTTAAGACTTTCCACCATTTCCAAAATCATCTTTTTTCTCAAGCCGTATTGATGAGTGGGAAACACTGGCATGTGACTTTTTCCGCGATTCTTCTCACTGCATTATGGATTAGTGTACCCAGCGGATTACATAGTCCACGGATTGGCGACTTACCCATTTCCCAAAATGGGTACTATCGGGTTTGGTAAATTCAATAATAGACCCTTGTTGGCATTCCAGCCTTCCTCCACGTTGGATTAATTGTATTCTGGGCCGGAGCAATGAACCTATTTGAAATGGCTCATTTCGTACCAGAGAAGCCTATATATGAACAAGGATTAATTTTACTTTCCCCTTAGTTGTAACAAAGTTCCATGGTATACTTCTCATAGACTTTATCAATGACGGTAAAAATCGAATCAACAAATCATCTCATATAACTATGATTTTCTCCTCCTAAGCTCTTTGATTTCGATTCTCAAACTTGAAGAACGAGAGGAAATAACTATTTGAGTTACATAGTTTCTCTTTACTTCGAAGGGGTATTTATATATTCCTCTCCAAACTTTGGGGGTATTTTGGTCACTTAGAAACATGACAGATGACAACTCCTTATTGAGTAGCTCATAACAAACTCTGTTAAGAATTTCACGTTTAAACCACTTGCCACGTGTAGCCAGCCTGAATAAGGGAAATGTTGCATGAGGGTTGTGAATTCTTTATACTTTTATTTTATTTACATACCCCTTTTATGTCCAGTGAACAGTGGGAAGAGCTCACTCTAGTATTTTCTTGGTCGAACACCAAAAATTTCAATGCACGCATGTCAGTAGAATAATTGGCTAAACTTAAAGTTGAGGATAATGTTTCAATAAAAAGAAATAAGTGCAAAATAAACAAATATTAAAAACATTAATTTAAAATGTGGGGTAATTATAATAACCTGTGATGTAATGTGTATATAATTATTATCAAAGAAACTAAGGGTGTGTTCTCTTTGTCGTTTTCGGATCATTTTCTATTTTCGATTTTTCAAAATGGTGAAAATGCGTTCTCTTTCACATTTTCGAAAGCGAGTTTTTGAAAGCGAAAAAAAAAATTTGTAAAGAAAATACAAAACAATATTTTTGACGTTTTAGACGTTTTCAGTACAAAACTCGAAAAAATTGAAAATACGGGAAATGATTCCAAAATGGCAAAAAGAATGCATTTTCAGCAACTTTAAAACAGTCAGTCAAAACACAAAATCCAAAATGAATTCAAAACTCAAAACTACAAAATTGAAACACAAAAACAGTCCTAAGGATTACCTATATTTACACTTTTTGACCTTGAATAATATATATATGATTTTTAGCTTCACCTATTTTCAGATTGTGTAAATTACAGGTGCCAACTCTACAGAACTGCTGGTACAAAATTGAGGCAAAACGCACCACGTGAGCGGCAATTTCTGTTTTTTCCGCGCACCAAATTCTCTCACAAGAATCTCGTATGAACAAAATTATACGTGAGTAAACCATTAGATTTTCAGGTTCATCATATCTTAATCTCTTTACATTCTTAAAAATTTTTGCTTTTGTTAAATTTTGGCTTCATAGATTGATCACGAATGAAATTTGATTAATTTTTTGCTAATGTGGTTAATTCAAGTTCTTTTTGTAAACTGTATAATTGTGTTAATTCTGTATTCAATTTGTTCCAGGTTCTGTGTGGGCCTAAGTTATTTGTGGTTGATTAAAGTGGTTGTTTATGTTGTTCACTGAAGTTGGTGAATTTGCCGTTTAGTACTGTTGCATGCAATGGCTGATGATATTTCAAGGGATAATAATTTGATGGATTTTTGTTCGATTAAATCTTTGGACCCACTTGTTAATTTCGGTGTTAGAATTGGGTCTTCGTCGAATAAGTTAGAAACTCGTGATGTTAGGATAGAGGAGAGAATTCGGAAACTCATGTTTGTTGCTACTCGTGTTAGGCAGAAGAAGTCTCACCAAGTGCAAGATTCTAAGGAAATTAGAAACTTTTCAGGCGAGATTTTGGTTAACTGGGATAGAGAGAAAAGTGGAAACGATAGAATTAATGTTGAAGAAAAGACTTCTAAGAATGGAAAGAGTTTTAAAAGGGACAGTTCCCATTTGGTAGGGAAAGCATTAAATATGTTGGATTTTGAGTTTAAGAATGCCGATAAGGAGGGTGGAAGTTTTTATGATTGTAATCTATGCTTTGACATGGCGAAGGATCCTGTCTTGACTTGCTGCGGCCACATGTTTTGTTGGCTTTGTTTTTATTTGCTACCTTATGTTTATTCGACTATTAAGGAATGTCCAGTATGTACAGGGGAGGTGTCAGATAATGCCGTAATTCCTATTTATAGCAATGGGAGTGTTGAGCATGTGTCTGAAGTAGAATGCGGCTTGAAGATACCTCCAAGGCCCAAGGCACGTAGAGTTGAGAGCTTTAGGCAGCAGGGAGTGGGCCGAAGTCTGTCTTATGCTTCCGTTGCACAAGCACTAAGGGAAATTACTGGTGCAATGGGGAGTCAAACACGGCAACAGGGTGGAAATGGTAACTCCAGTTTAAACTTTGAGTCTCATGGGGTACTAAACGCAGCAGATCCACAAAGAAACCACGCTCTTGCAATCCGACCAGAACGAAGAGTATTATCAGAAAGAACTGCTTTTATGGGTTCCGTTTCATTTGCTTTAAATAATTCAGGAAGATCAGTTGAGGATCGTGAAACAGTTGTTAACAATTGGATTCAAGGAAGTGATGATAGGACTTCAATAGTTGGTGTCGGAAATTATCTTACCAGCTATTTTACTACGCTACGATCTTATAACCGGCCTCCAGAATCAAGGGTGGAGATCAATTCCGCTTTGCCCATTTCTTCATCTTCCCAAGCAAGTGATGTTTCTGGTGCTGTTGAAGGTTTCATGACATTGACTGCTATTGGGATCAATCCTCCTGTGGATCCTTCTCCATCTTACTGGGGAAGAACCATTCCACCAAATGCTTCAGATGTAGAGAGTGAAGACTCCCATGAATCTAGAAGGAGAAGATTGAACTGAATGATTTGTAAACGAGGAAACGTAGTAAATAAGGCTCTCATGTAGAATAAAATTTCAGTACATTGCTTAAAGTAACTTTTTAAGTATTATATTACTATTCAGGGAGCAATGATAAAAAACATTATAGTATGTTGATATTTATGTTTGCTTGGCAACGTATATTATCTAGAAGAATTGTTCGTGATTAGTGTTACTAATGAAAAAACCCTGCTATCACCACACTCTTTCCATGTGTGACTTATGGACAAAAGCAGCTAAAGAAGTTACCTGAAACATTTTTTTTAGCTGAATTTTTGGTAGTATGCGCATATTGGGTTGGTTGCTGCTTGCCTTTACTTGATGCCCATTTGTTTATTCAGATGATATGTTTCTCTATATCTTCTTTTTAATTTTTAGTTTTTTGGTTGTTTTATTCATCTGTTGTTCATTATAGTAGAATGTATAACACCCCCTCCATTATATGCTCATACTTGTGCAGCTCACTAGGTTCTGAGATTACGTAGATATAAGAAGGAAGAGCTCTCCATTGCGTAATTGTTCTGAAATGAACGGACATTTAAAACTCATCTTTTTCTTTCTTAATTTCTTCTTATTCCTTACTACCATCCTCGTCTTCCTTCCATTGACAGATTATCAGTTTTGGCAACACCGCCACCTTGTTGATAAAACCAAATGGCTTCTATTCTTTTCAGATAAGGTAATATAGCTCCTAAGGGGATTGTGAAAATATAAAATGCCAACTGTCACTCGTTTAATGGTTCATTTAATGGCAGCATATCTTTTCTACAGATATACAGTTTGGATGTAGTGAGAATATTTTCCTATGGATTATCGATTGGGACTTGGAAAGAAAAAACCGTTATTTCAAGAGTAATTAGCTGTCTCCTTGTATGCAGCAGTTGATACACAAGCTCCGCAGGGAGAATTAAGTGACATTTTACTTGACTGTCTTGTCGGCATCATCATGGATTTTCTATCAAGAACAAATTTTTAACGGTAGGTCAGTTTTAGTAGTTAGTATATTCCAAAGCAGGTGTCAGAGTATTTTACCCATTAGAATTCCTTCCAGTTAGTTTTATTATTTCGTAACTCTGCAGTGTAACTTTTGGAAGTTCTTGTTATGCTTCAGTACAAAGCAAGAGACAAAGTCACACTATATGCTCTCTCTGCACCTTTTTCATCTCTTTTTTTTTTTTTTTTTTGCAGCCATAACTTGCTCATGAATGTTTCCATTGTCTAAAATTCTATTCTCAGTAGCTCCATAGGCTCTATCAAATGAGGTTCTCCATCTTCTGCTACCTTTTTGTTGAGGTTTTGTTTCAGTAAGCATTATATATATTAGCAGATGGTTAGCATCCTACATATTGTTGCCAGATTCCAATATCGCGAAATGTATCAGTTTTGTTTCTTTTTTTTTTTTTTTTTTTTTTGCAGCCATAACTTGCTCATGAATGTTTCCATTGTCTAAAATTCTATTCTCAGTAGCTCCATAGGCTCTATCAAATGAGGTTCTCCATCTTCTGCTACCTTTTTGTTGAGGTTTTGTTTCAGTAAGCATTATATATATTAGCAGATGGTTAGCATCCTACATATTGTTGCCAGATTCCAATATCGCGAAATGTATCAGTTTTGTTTCATTAATAACAGACACTTAACAATTAGAGCACCTCTTCATTCTAGATGGATAGAACATACTCTGGATCGAGTTCATTTTTCAGTAAACTGAATGACTTATTCCTTCAGCCAACGAAAATGTTGAACGCTCTAATTTATAGCATGAGATGTGTATTCCAATAGCAGGTGAACTATGAGAACTTAGATAATGTCAAGTGTTTTCTATTTGTGCAGGCTGCAATTTTACCTGTTGTGGTGAATATATTAGTTTGTTGAATGCTTTCTGCTGTTCTAAAATATGAAAATGGCCTATTCTTTGTCTCCATTTTTCAATTATTGATCCCAGAGTAATTGGGGTTTATTTATTTCTTTGAGTTGGAGGATTTTGAGAAATGGGATTGAAAATGTTGCCTTATTTTCATGCTTGCTTAAACTTCCAGAGATATGTTTAATGGCTGGATATAGTGCTAAAATGCATGTAAAACACTTTTTAACTGTTGATTTGAGAAAACTATCTTTGAGTTTTGATATGGATAAAACTAGGTCCAAGAACAAGAATCTTTCTATATTTGAGCCGTTCACATGCTATTCTCACAAAGCAAAACTACCCGAATTGGAAACTCGACCGATCCGGCAAAACAGCTCAAAAGATAAAGAAATATCATTAATTTCTACATGCTCATTCCAAGTTTGAGTTCACTATATTGAAAAATATTGTAGTGATATAGTTGTAACATTTCATGATAATTACTATCATCTTTATCTTATATCTGTTTTTGCAATATCATAGTTCATCTCTGCTGTCGATCATTTATGGGACACATCACAGCCACTTCTACTAGTGCAGGGCTCTTCATTATCTGTTTTTTTCTCCCAAACCACACCATATAGCCAATAGATGTTTGGGTCAAACCCAACTTCGCCTGGAGATTGATGTTTACTGTAACTATCATATTGTTCAAGTAAGAAAGTAATATATCTATGCATGTCTAGACAAAAAAAATTAGTTAAAAGTAATCTTAATTAATTTTAAGCTTAGCCGAATATGTAAATTACTTATTTCGCCTTGCTGAGTAATTACAATAAATAATTCGATGCTTATTCGATAAGTTGTAAATTTGCACATGGATGTCAATGGTTGTAGATGATAACGAATAATAATCGGGCCAAGACTGCCTTATGACTTGACTGCTATTTTAACATATGTTTGATCGTTAAATAAATATTGATTGCTTATTTGTATTTTTTTAAAGTATTGTACTTATAATTATGAGAATGCTATTAAGTGCTTTCGATCGCTTTGTGACAATATGATTTAGGTGTCATCATAAAGAAAGAAGATGGATATCCCTCATATTCAATCAAGAATTAATTTGTCGTAAGCGAATTTTGTTTGGTAAGGTCATAGGATCAAATATTCTACCGATTGTAAAAATAAAAATAAAAATAAAAAATAATAATAATAAATAAATAATCGAATGGAAAAATTGTCGTTTTAAACCTCGATCTAATAATTTGACAATGATAGGGGTAAGATAAAATTAACAAGCCAATATGATGAAACTACTTGAAATTAAAATATTATTGCTTCTATAATTTTATAAAATTAATAGTTCGGTTTCTCGACTTTAGTAAAGTGAGTGAAAACTTATAATTGATCAGTATGATCTTGGATTGGCTTGACTATGGTTCAATTATTGGAGCTTAAATTATGTGAGCTCGATTAGGCCCCTTTGGTAACTTCTTAAAAGTCTTGAACTTAATTGCAATAGCAATGAAAGTTTAAGGACTGCACGGTCAAAATGTGAAAACAGCTTTCAAGGCAAAAGCAGGAGATTTGGAGAAAAGCCCAAGACCTATAAATATTGTATTATTTCATTTGTACAAAAACAGAATTTACAAATTAATACAAAAATCTCACATGGGGTGGCCCCATATAAGTAAAATAGTGCCAAAAAATATAAAATTACCCACCTCCGTGTCTTGTCTAGAGGGGTTTTGTAGCCCCTCCTTCTATACATGAAGGGCGACTGACAAGTATTTACAAGTCTAGGGGGCATTGACATGGCATCTAAACAACCGTGTTCATCTGTGCCTATTGAGATAGACGGAAATTTACTTTTACCTGCTCCTTTTTACGATTACAATTTGAAGTCAGTCTAGCTCTTGTAATTGGATTTCACTTTTTTGATGATATGGACTTAAAGATAACAAATTTTAGAAGAGGAGGACTAAAGTGCAAAGGTTGAAGATGAATCACACTCAATGCGGATAAGGAAGGACTCAAGCTAAATGAAAAGGAGATCCGAGGACCAACTAGCACAGAGAGAAAGAGTTGTAAACTATACAGTTGAATGATTTAAATGGTGCAATTGCAAGATCTCAAACTCAACCCCCAATATATACAACAAGTAACTCATGCAATTGCAGCTACTCAAGCCATGCGATCACATGAGCAAAATGGGCAGTCGTAGATTACTTTCCTTCTCCAAGTCAACCTCTATTATGGATATGCTGATTATATTGCCCCCACAATTTATCTTTGTACCACCACAGTTAAAATATTTTTTTAATAATTACACCACTTTAATTTGAATAATCTAATCCATTAAGAAAATAATATGCCACCACATTTTTACTTGCACCACATTATCTCTTGGATATCCAAAACAACACACCACAAAACAAAGAGGCCTATAGAACAGAGGCATTTTAACTTCCCATTTTAACACACCACAAACCAAAGAGGTCGCTAGAACAGAGGCGTTTCAACTTTCTCGATTGGTGGAATATATGAAATTCTACTTCTTTTAAGGGAATTGATGAAATTTGCATTTGTGACGCCTATTAAAGGGGTGCCATCTTACTTCCATTTTGATTACATTGGTATAACTATTTTTCTAAATGTATGAAAATCAACTCAATTCTTCTTCTTTTTCTTAAAATTGTCGATAGAGGTGGTGGTGGTGGCGGCGGCTGCGGTACAGGAGGAATTGCTCACGAAGAAGGAGAAGCAATAGCTTGGAAATGCAGTCAACATGGTTTATACACAAGGGGATAGAGAAGAAACAAAGAAAATAATGAAGAAACAGGAAAAAGGCCTAAATACGTAATCGTTGTCCTCAAAAGATATTTACCTCCTCTCAGATTGAATTTGATGCTTAAGGAGATTCTTACCAAATGGTTTATAGTATTTATCAAACCTTGAAAAGGGTTTAATGCTTAAGCACTGGTGAAATCCTTTAAAACTTGAGAACGCAAAATCAGGATTTGAATATGAAAAGAAAATTAAATTTCAATACTTTTTGGAATGAGGAATTAATCTCAAGTGTTGCTATATATTTCTATGTATCTCATCAATCATCAATCACCTATAGCCATCAACCAATGCTATACGAAGTGGGTCCAAAACACTTGAAAAGCAACCAGAAATTCAAACAAAAAAGGTCCTAACGACTAGCAAAAATGTTCTATGCAATCATATAGAATAAATCTATGCGACTGCATAGATCGTCTAAAGGCT